GTAGTAGCTGCATGGCTGTTTTCAGAGAGAATTTATTGTGTGAAACCTGAGGTTGGATAAGATTCTGGTTTTCTTATTTTTCCTGCTGTGACCCAGTTTAGCTCCTTTCCTCTTCATCTTTAAGGAATTCTGTGATTGCAGTAAAATTCCCTCCATCATCACTGATCCCAGCTGACCTGTACTGAACTAAACATGAATCCTAAAGCCTGTAATACAACAAAGAACATTACTAATGAACACTGATTACACAGAACCTTTGATCAGTTAATATATAACTACATAGATTTTATTGCAGCAGCGTGATGTTCAGAGTTTGGCTGTGAGTTTAACAAATTGTTGTTAAAAACCATAAAAACCACAAAGTTTAGGCATGAAGTGTAAAATAAAGTTAGAATCAACATACATGATCTGTACAACTTGTTTACATCCTGCACACATCCTGTTCACTTCGTTGCCTTTTGAACACCTACTGCTGATTTAGAAAACACACCCATATTCACTGGTGATGGTCACAGTTTAATGTAACGTCACAATAGCCTGCACAAAATAAGCAAATGTAGCTCGTTTCCTCTGCTGCAGCTTGTGTTTACCCTCAAGGTGTTCTTACTGTCTTGGAGCAACTGGGGTTAAAAGTCTTTTAATCGTGTAGGACTTAATTAGATCTTCCCTCCAATCTGGACGACACCAAACTTCCACTGAAATGTGAAAAAAAATGTTTTCTTTGTCTTTGTTATTATTATTTTTTGTTTTTCATCTAATCTTTTTGTTTCTGTGTCCACATCATAACTTTTTCTGTCCTTTTTGATTTTCTGTTTGAATTATACAAAACTACATTTTGCTTGTTAAAATTACTTTGTAAACAGTTTGTCATGGTCCTGGGTCGTTACACCCAGCATTTTGTGTTATATTGGTGTCATCGTATGCTTAGGGTTTATTCTTGTTTTCTTAGCTCCTAGGGTTTTGGTTCTTGTGCTTAGTGTGCTGTCCTCCCCCCAGGTGTTCTGTTTGTGTATCTGAGTTTGTGTTTCTAAAACAGCCTGTGATCTTCCTGTTTTACTTTGAAGGTCCTGTCTCATTATGCCCATTAGTTTCAACTGTGTTCACCCCATACGTGTCATTTCAATACAATACAATTTTATTTATATTGCACATCTAAAAACCAGATGTATGCCAAAGGGCTTCACAGAAACCAAATAAGAGCAATGATAAATACAAGTAAATAAAATGAAAAAATAAATTATGTACAAAAAAAATGTACTATATACTAACAGGTGGGAGACATAACTAACCAATCATACAGCAGGCATAATCATAAATACAATAATAAAAGCAAAAAAGATAAGTTACAGTTCACTTAAAAATGCGAGCTCTAGGAGGCAGGGAAGGCAAGGCTAAATAACTACGTTTTTAATCAAGATTTAAAAGATTGAATTGAATCAGACGTGTGAAGAGCTTGACGGAGATTATTCTAGAGGTAGGATGCAATAGAGGCGAATACGTGGTCACCTCTGCTCTCCCACGGGTATTAAAAGCTGAGGACATCCGTAAGAAAGCTGGGTGTGGTGTTATTTATGATTTTAAAAGTGAGCTATAAGATTTTAAAATCAATGCAATATTAAATGTAAAGCCAGTGCAGGTCGCAGAGAACTGGAGTAATAGACTCAAACCTACCAGTTCCGGTTAAGAGACGTGCAGCAGCATTTTGAACGAGCTGCAGTCTGTAAACAAGGGCAGAATGGAGACCTGGGGCCCGTTCTTCGTACCTCGCTAAGTAGGTTAGCCGGATTAGATTGTTGACGATTTTGCGTGATCTTGGATCGTTCGGTTCCCCGAAGCTCATCCGGGACTTGCTGTCATAGCAACAGAGCCGTAAGCGTAAACCTGCTCGGGAGCAGGTTTACTTTATGTAAACAGGATTAGATCGTGGCCACGCAGGTATGTCCGCTTCATTTATACGAAAGCAACAGCGATATTTTTCCACTGTTTCACCATAAATAAATATTATCAATGTAACTAAAGGTAATGCAGCACTTGATCCTTTTATTGATGTCACACAGATACATACAGGTCATTTCCTAAAAAAGGGAAATGTACTATTAATCATTCTATTACATGTATGTGATTATTACAGATGTAATTCATATTTCAGAGTAGTAATTGTAAATTACTTCGTGTAATCAAGATGAGAGACCACGGCTATAAAAGCGAAGGTGGATTTGGGAAGTCTGTCGCAGCCATGTCCTGTCCGTATACGCGACCAACCCATTGCGGAAGGTGCAAGATTGATAAGGAGAGTCCTCAGAATTCAGCATATATTGCGGGACAGACAGGATCCTTTAGCTCAGCGCGACAGTGTGCTCATAGAGAGATATCGATTTTCCCGTGAGGGTATTATTTACTTAACCAACTTGTTGACGAGGGGGTGCAGGACCACCACCTGTCTTTTTTTCCTCTGCCCTTTTCTTGGTTGCTGTTATGAACAAACTAACAGAGTATTACAGGCCAGTATTACCTTGCCAAGAGACGCAAAGCAATCTAAGAGATAAATATTACCATTCTGTAGAATACTCCTGTATTCCACTTTTACTTGTTCCCATGTTCTTGTGGGTCCTGTTGTGGCTCTAATGTGAAAGGGGATATAATATAACATATTATAATATAATATAATGCCATATGATATTGGACAATATAGTGTCATATGATAGATCTACCCTACCGCCTACTGGTGTTGGCCAGAGGGGCCGATGGCGCGATATGGCAGCCTGGCTACAACCGTAGCTGCCTCCACCAGTGTGTGAATGTGGGAGTGAATGAATAGTGGTATCGTAAAGCGCTTTGGGTGCCTTGGAAAGCGCTATATAAATCCAATCCATTATTATTATTATTATTAAATTACCTACGAGTTTAATTTGTCAGCAACTTCCTGCCAGCCCTCTCTCCTTGCTTTTGCAGCCTTTGCAGTGTTCTCTTGCGTTTTAATTAAACTCTGAAACTCCTGAAATCCCTCACTCATGAGTTCTTGCTCTGCTGCCGGAAAATACCGAGCACGCCCCTTGGACATTTTCGCCGACCAATCAGCGGGTTGCCGATCAATGTTTCTACTATCGATGCGTAGCCCCTTTTACGACACCCAGTGATGTCACATTCCTGCGTCCAGCTGTACTAATCGTCAACAGCAGGTGTGTTCGGGGAACCGGATTAGCGAGCTCACGGTTAGCGCGATGATTTGATCTTGGATGTGTCATTTGATCTTGGATGTAGTAAGCGACGTACGAAGAACGGGCCCCAGTATAGAGGGAATTAGAGTAATCTAATCTTGATGTAACAAAGGCATGGATAAGTTTTTCCAGGTCCTTACGTGGTAAGCAGGGCTTGGCCTTAAAGATTAGATGCAATTGATAGAAACCAGATTTAACTACAGAGGACACATGTTTGTCCAGCTTGAAGGAACTGTCCAAGACAACACCCAAGTTCCTCACAGTGTCAGAAAGGGAGTCAGCAAAGAGCCCAAATATACCAGTTACTTCAGCCCGAGAGGAGGGAGAATCAAAGATTACAATTTCTGTCTTCTTATCATTTAAAATGAGGGAATTGCTCAGTAGCCAGTTTTTAACTTCACTCATACATTTAAAGAAGTGTTGCAATGACGATGTGACATCACCAGCCAGTTTAAAATAGATTAGAATGTCATCCGCATAAAAGTGAAAAGAAAAGTCGTATTTATCAAAGATTTGGCCCAAGGGTAACAAGTACAGAGAGAACAGCATAGGACCCGGCACAGACCCCTGGGGGACACCAGGGGTAACAGGGGCAATGGAGGAGGTGTAGGTACCCATGGTGACAGAAAAGGACCTTTCTGATAGATAGGATTTAAATCAGCTAAGGGCACTGCCCGTGATGCTCAAGCTTCATTAAAAGGACATTACAGTCCACCTAATCAAAAGGACAAATCAAGCAAAACTAAGACCACAGGGCGCCCTGAGTCAGCAATTGAGAGAAAGTCATTAAGATTCTCAGTAATGCAGTTTCCGTGCTATGGCGTGGCTTAAACCCTGAATGAAATTTTCCCCGATATTATTTGCATCCAAATAAGTTGGTAATGAACAATCTTCTCTAGGACTTTAGACAGAAAGTTAGTGAGTGGACTGAGGCAGCTCTTTTTGAGTATAGGTTGCACTACAGCGTTTAAAAGTAGCTGGAACATAGCCCAATAACAATGACAGATGCATTAGAGATAAAATACAGGGCCCGATAACGTTAAACCCATCTTTAATAATGTAAGATGGAAGGATGTCAACAGCGTTTCCTGTCAATAGGTCCGGGTTTGTGGTGGGGCGTGGTCTGCGGATGCCATGCGGATGCACCTGCATGGCGTCCGCAATCACGCCCAACGAGTTAAAGACACGGGGATTCAGGGTTGTTGGTGTGTGTGTGGTGGCAAGGAGTATGTGTGGCCTGCAGCTGAGAGCTGTAGTCACACTGTGTGAATGAAGTTCGCTCTCAAATCAGACCTCTGGACCCGTCATGCGTCTTCCTTGCCACATATGGTTTCAGGTTTTGTTTGTTATTTAGTTTAAGTTTATGTTTAGTTCTGTCCTTGCTTTTGTTATTTCCAACTAAAGCTTCCTTGCATCACAGCAAGTGCCTGAATTTTGGGTTCTTTCACACAAACCCCACATGACTGCTGCTGCAGCTATAAATGTCAAATTGGTTTAATTAATTTTTTATTATTATTATTTTATTATATTTGTATTTTTTTGATGACTAAATCACATTTCTGTTATTAAGTATTGTGATAATGATGTGCGCGTTCACTCAGGATCTAAAACAAACTGACGAAATCTTCGTGACTGATGATTTTCTGATGATTCTTTTCAGCACAGAAAGGCTCATCTTTTAAAAATGATGAAGAATTTTCATTTTCATTCACTTCAAAAACAAGTCTGAATGTACCGACCCTAAAAGATTATCTTTAGAAGTTTATTATTTGAGTTACTTACTCTGACAAGTGTAAAACACCTCCAGGTACTTATAAATGTTTACACACGGGTCTTCTGAGATATTTGCATCAACAGTACAGCTGTTTGTCCCATTGCACCTGTGAATGCAGGTCAAAGGTGAATCAGTGAAAATTCACTGCGTCATCTGAGAGAAGATGGAGAGCTGAAGAAACAGAGTCAGCATCTGTACCTGGTAGTTACATAGTTCATGCTTCCTGACCAGGTGCAGTGAACATTTTGGAGCTGAGAGACAGGACGTCCATGAGAGCACGTGGTCTTGTCACGGCGACCATAATTCGCCCAGGAGACGACTATAACCTGTCCTTCATCTGAGGAAGAGTTCATAGAGTCAAACTGTAACCATGGTGATATTTTTACTGCATTAAATGTAGAAAGACATAGAAGCTGTGTTCTCACCACACTGAAGGTTTGACTGGAAGTTTTGACATGTTACACTTTGGCCTGAAACAGACACAGATCCCATAGAAACTGTAATCATTCATGTACAGATTGGGTTCATCAGTCATTTCTAATCACAGGTTTAACAGACTCGTTACGTGGGAAGCAGTCGTAGGTGGTCTCCAGGTATTTGCAGACTCCAGGATCATAAGTAATGTTTGACTTTATGTCACACTCGGTTTTTCCATCACAGCTGCAGGGAGACAGAAACAGCTGGTTTTCAGCTCAAAGATATGAAACAAGTTACTTTCAGGTAATCATTTACTTCCTGTTAGTTTGAGTAAAGCTGTTCAACAGGTTTTAGTTTGTTTCTTCTTTTGAATCAAAGGCTCACTTCTACCATCCCACAGTGCTCACCTGTTCCTCACGTTGTTCACAGCGTCACCGTGAGAGCAGATTACTTCACCTCCACATCTGTACTCAGCTGACCTCACAATGATCATTCCACCCACTGTTATACAGACACAGTATGAGAGAAAAGGAACAACTCAACACAACATGCAATAATCCAGGTTTCAGGCTTCAGTTTCAGACTCAGATGCTGCAGATCCATAAATAATGAGGATTGTACCTCTGTACACCACCACAGTGGATATTACATTAACTCTGATCAAGGAGGAAACTTTAAGTCAGTGTTTTTGTTTCTAATCTACATCAAATGTTTCTGAACTTTTATACACAGTCCAACATCCTCAGAGCTTTTTTAAAGAATAAATGCACTGTTGGTTTGTTGATCAGGAAAATACAATTTAAACTGAAAATAAGCAGCTGTGCATAAAAAGGCTGTAAACTATAAACAGTTCATCCAATACTTGTTAAGTTTGTTGAATTTAGCCTGAGAGTCTGAATTTGATCTGCAGTGAATTCTTGGACACTATTTTCCATCTTACCACAGCTCAGGCGATGAACACTGAGGCCGTTAGAGGTGACCACTCTCCCTGTGGATATGGGGGTCACAGGAGGAGGAACTTGAGCTCTGATAAAGCCTGAAATAAAAATAAATGTATAATAATGTAATAATGTAAATGTATAATGTAAAATAAATGCTAGGTTTAAGCCCGGGTCATCTTTTCAGAAGCCCGGGGTCTTTTGGAGTGTAATTTGTTTCATAGTTAGAGGCCTGACTGACAACTGTATAAAACAAAAACTACACACAATATTCGAAGCACATAGCGCACAGTCGTAAATTCCCCCTAATTTTGGTATCAATCAATCAATCAATCAATCAATCAATCAATCAATCAATCAAGGCTTTATTCGCCACATGCAGGTTGCCCTGCAGTGAAATTTGAGCAGCTACCAAAGCAAATCATTGGCACTGTACAAATAATGTAAATATGATGGTGTATCACAAAAGATTGATATCAAACTGATCACTTGACCCATTTTGACTCTATCCAGTCCTTTAAATCCAGATTGAAAGCATATCTATTTGATTTGGCTTTCCTGACCAGTTAATACCCTTTTAAATCTTTTAAATTTTTAACTTTTAAATCTTTTATTAAATTTATGCTTTTATTATTAATGTTCCTGCTGTTTTTGTCTTCTTAGTGGATTTTGTATTTATCTAGCTCTTCTGGTCTGTTAGTGCCTGATTTGTACCCTGTTATTGACTTATGCTGACTCTCCATATTACTGTGAAGCACTTTGCTTTGGTTTTTAAATGTGCTATATAAATAAAACTGTACTATATTACGTTACTTGTTCTTCGAGTGAATCAACAAATGGCGAAATGAAAAGCCGAACAACAACAATGCTGTTTCTTTAGAGAGTCTCAGCTTACATGTGTTTATTTCATATTTGTGAGAACGCTCACAGGCATTCACACATTTCTGCTAAATCATAGTAATTCTGCTCAATGATAGAATTTCTGCTACGTTTGACTATTTTTGCTAGATTATAGTATTTCTGCTAAGTCAAAGGAGTTCATGTAAATCATGGTATCTCTACCAAGTCACAGTGTTTCTGCTAAATCGTTGTATTTCTGCAGATTCATAGTATTTGACACTGCAAAGTATTTCTGGGTGTGGACGAGGACGAGGGGTGCGTTTCCTTCTGAGGTTGGAACCCCCCCTCCAGACCTGCTCCTTAAAGAAGTGGAGCCCCCCCACCAGGTTGCAATCCAAAGCCTCTATCCCTGATTTCCTCACATGTCAACAAGGAGCCCCACAACATCCAGAACCCCCCCCCCCCCCCCCCCCACCCGCCCAGCAGCCACCAGACAGGTTTCATTTCATTTTCACTGGGAACAGAAATAAGATTTTAAAAAGGTGTGTGTGAAGGATAGAGTTTAGATTTTAGATCACACAAATACAATATTTAGTAGTTACAGACAGAAGAAGAAGAGGTGAGCTCTAATAATGAGAAAGTTCACAGAAAGGCTCTTTGTGACCAGAATATAAGAAGCAGTAAAACAGCATTTACCTGAAGTGATGAGTGAACAGGTTGCTGCCAGCACTGAAAGAGACAGAAAGAAAGCTCAGTGTCAGACTGTGTGTTTGATATCAAGTTGAATTCACCTCAAAACATGAAACAGAAATGAAAAGCAAACAGGAGAAAGCTGCTGCTTTCATTCACACCTGGATTCTTTGGAAACTCTTTCTAAACAGCAGATTTCAATGACACATTTATTCTCTTCATCTTTCCAACTTTTGTCAATAAACTTATTTGTGTTGACAGTTTGACTTCAACTCTTCAAAGTAAATGATCAGCCATGAATTGCTCTCAGGACTCTGTGAAGCCTAACTGTCCTGCTGAGGTGATGCAAACATGTATTTAGGATGTTAGATGAACTGATCCAATAAAGCAGAAAGAAAAGCATGTCACAGTACAGCACAGTGGAAAGCTAGAAAAGGATTAGACTGAACATGTGCAGCTGATTTCATGTATAAATAAAGGATGATCAGTGTGTTGTACTCACACAGTGTGCTGCTGAGTCCGGAGCAGAGCATCATGTTAGGAGATCTGGATTACAGTGAAGAGCTGATGGAGGATCAAACACAGAGCTGCTGGATTCACTCTGTTTGAATAAAACTTGTAATGTATATGCAAAGTGCAAAAAACCCAAAATGTGGATTATCTTCTATCTCAGATGTAAATGAATAAGGAAATAAAACTACTTTACATTAAAAGTTATGTAAGCCTGGATCAGCTGACCCAGTGACAGCTGGGAGAGGCTCACATCTCATATTTGTTGATTGGTTAAATCAGTTTAGCAACTGGTAAGAATTTTCTTTTTTCTTAAAACACGATACAAATTATTGCAACTTTTTTTGTAATGATTCACATGTCGTGAAGAGCTGTTCCAAAGTTTAGGAGCTACAGTTTGAAAATGTGATCACGTCTGGATTTAAATGAAGAGCACAGAACAGTTCAAAGAGCCTGATCAGCTCAGAGAGAAAGTGACACTCCCCTGTTCATTAACAGCGTCCTAAAGAGGGAACAAAGAGGACGGAGACCAAGTGGACGACACAGACACACATGCAGCAACAGCTGTGGGTGTTCAACACACCAGTGTTTACAGTGGTTTAAATGGGGTGGCAGCAGGTGGATGTTTTAGCTGCTTGATGTTTGTAGTGATAAAACGATTATTAAAAAAGAAAAACAGGGTGCAGCATGAGTGCAGCAGGAACACATTTGTATAGAAAATTTTCACATTTGCATGGATTATCTCCACACGTCTCTCTGGTCAAAGCACGCAAAGGAGAAAGATTTGAGAAAGTGGGTGAAAATGTGTTCTGAAGCCAGTTCACGAGGAAAACAGAGTTTCAAAAACACTCACAGTATTTAGACAGAAGTGTTACTTCAACTCTGACTGCGTGAAGAACTTTTCAGGTCCGGCTGTGCAGCAGGTAGAGTGAGGATCCAAATTACAGGGCGCAGTTACAAAAGGATGAACTGAAAGAGGCAGCTTTATTGCTGTGGCAAAAACACTCAAAGACACAAAAACTCAGGAGAGAACTGGAGACTCAAAAATATGGAATACAGGGAAACACAGAGGCCAACAGAACAACAAGCAGAGGACGACAGAGGACTTAAATACACCTAGGCTAAGGCGAGGATGTGAAACAAGAGGGAACACAGCTGGGACTAATTGAGGCTAACGGGACGAGGGAAGCCAAACTGTGCACACTGACACAGGACAAGAGAGCGCCAAAACAAAATAGGAAAAATACTGAAAAACATAACATGTCACTGTACACAGCTACACCTTCATGCAAAAGGTTTCTGGATTTTCCACTTTCATCCAAGAGGCGTCTTCTTTTTTAAAGCCTGTCCTGTCTGACAGCTTTTCCCATCACAATTGTGACCTGAATGTGATCTTGTGGCAAACACATTTGCTTTTTTAAGATGAGCTCTATGAAGCTCCTCTTGTTCACGTGTTGCCTTTATGTATTTCTTCATTCATTTCACTTCCATCACTACAGTACATGTGCAATATGGAAACATGGCCTCTGTCAGGGTCCTGGGTCGGTGATGCAGTGTTTGTGTTCTGAATTATTGATAGTCTTTGCTTTTGTAACATGCACTGCCTGGCTAAACAAAAAGTCTCCACCCAAAAAAAAGGTCACACACTCTGATATTTCATTGGACCGCCTTTATCTTTGATTACTCGCTCATTCGCTGTGGCATTGTTTCGAGAAGCTTCTGCAGTGTCACAAGATTTATCTCCATCCAGTGTTGCATTAACTTTTTACCAACAACCTGAGTCTGCTGCACAAAGCCTTCTCCAGCACAGCCAAAGATTCTCAATGGGGTTTAGGTTTGGACTCAGTGGTGGCTAATCCATGTGTGACAATGATGTCTCATGCTGGAAGAACAACTCTTTCACAATTTGAGCTCGATGAATCCTAGCATTATCGTCTTGGAATATGCTCATGCCATCAGGGAAGAAAAAATCCATTGATGGGATAACCTGGTCATTCAGTATAGTCAGGTAGTCAGCTGACCTCATTCTTGGAGCACATACTATTGCTGAACCTCGACCTGACCAACTGCAGCAGTCCTAGAGCACTGCCCCCACAGGCTTGTACAGTAGGCACCAAGCATGGTGGGTGCATCACTTCACCTGCCTCTCTTCTTACCCTGATGTGCCATCATTCTGGAAGAGAGTAAATCTGGACTCAGACCACATGACCTTCTTCCAGTGCTCCAGAATCCAATCTTTATGCTCCCTCGCAAATTACATTTTTTTCTGGCCACATTCCTACCTCTAAGATGCTCTGTCCCCACTGTCCACTAGCTGTTTTCTCTGCTTGATGCATGACAATGGTTTGACCCTTTTTACACACACTATCATCTTTTCCACGACCACGAGATGTGTCTTTCAACAAGGTTGTTTAAGAAATGAGAAGCAACTCATTGCATCATTTGGGCAACTTGTTGCCAACTGAAAGATAATCACCATTCAGTATTTGTCCAATAGGAGGCTCATACCTAATTGATTAGTTACATCCAGTTGGCGAAGCAGTGTAGTTAAAAAGGTTTGAAGTTAAATCCTGCTAAATGGGACAATGGCATCACCTACTATTGCAAATGTCACCCTGCATTGACTATGAAGGGCAAAGAATTGTGAGTAATCTTCAGAGTGATGAAGGATTCCCACAGAGGTAACGAATGTAAATGTTGTGGAAAGAAATCATGTTGCTAGTCCATAACATTAATAGAAATTGACTTGGTTATTTTTGGTTAAATATCATTTGCTGTGGGTTACTTCTGTCATCCTTATGTTGGGTTAGATGTTCGTTCCATGTGAGACTTCGTTACCAGGAAAGAGACTAGCGAACTATGCCGTCTTTTCACACAGGGCTCACACTGGTTGTTCACCAAAATTAACCATTCTACTTTGTTGGTCTTTGTCATGAATGCAGGTATGTGACTGTGCACTGCTGTTAGAGTTTGATACACAGCCCTCCTCTTTGCATTTTTATAATACGTTATTGTTCCATGTGTCCTCTCAGGTTCCCTGTTTTTGTGTTCCTTTGCGGTACTCTCTGTAGTTGCCTCCCAGTTTAGACTGTCGAGGTACGGCTGTGCAGCACGCAGGATGTTGGACCCAAACGCAAAACACTCGATGGAGCAGTAAACTTGGTGTTGGCACAAGACATTGAGGAAGATAACAGTGGAGGAATTATATCCTTAAAATTATTCATAGCACTTTCAGAAAGACATTTACTGTGATGTACCTTGAAGTTCTTAAAATATTCACTCAGAGGGCTTATGAGGCGATGAGAGGAGCAAGGGAGTGGCTGGAAATGGCTCAGGTTTCAGATGAGGTGAGGTTGTGACCTTTAAGTGGGGAAGCAGGGGGCGAGAAGGTCCACAGCTCTGTGAATCCATAGAGGAGGGAGCCATCAAAGGATGAGCAGGCAGGTGAATTGTTGAGGTGAGTATCCCAGTGGATAGGAAACCACTTCTTGAGACTAGAGGATGGAAGCACACTCGGAAACACAAGGAGAAATGCTCTTACTAGCACTCATAAACTATAAATCTAAGGAACACAAACTAGGCCTGGTTTCTGCTTTGAGAGATAGATCATCTGGCAGAGACTGGATGGTCCATATACAGTGAGTGGAAAGGGCTATGGGGCGATTGCCACCCAGCTTGGTGAAAAAAGAACAACTGTTGGAGCAATTTTCAGGAAATGGAAGAGGCTAATGATGACTGTCAATGTCCCTCGGACTGGGGCCAGGCGTGGGGTTTCAATGATGCCAAGAATGGTGAAGAATCAGCCCAGAACTACACGGGAGGAGCTGGTCAATGCCATGAAGAGAGCTGGGACCATGGTTTCCAAGGCTACTATCAGTAATACACTAAGATGTCATGGTTTAAAATCTTGCATCGCATGGAAGGTTCCCCTGCTTAAGTCAGCCCAAGTCCAGGCCCATGTGAAGTTTGCCAGGGACCATCTGGATGGTCCAGAGGAGTCATGGGAGAAGGTCCTGTGGTTAGATGAGACAAAAGTAGAACATTTTGGTCTTAACTCCATTCGCCATGTTTGGAGGAAGAAGAATGATGAGTATCATCCCAATAATACCGTACCTACAGTGAAGCATGGGGCTGGAAACATCATGCTCTGGGGTGTTTTTCTGCACAGGGGACAGGACGACTGCACTGTATTAAGGAGAGGATGAACGGGGCCATGTATTGTGGCATATTGGGCAAAAACCTCCTTCCCTCAGTCAGAGCATTGAAGATGGGTCGTGGATGGATCTTCCAACATGACAATGACCCAAAGCACACAGCCAGGAAAACCAAGGAGTGGCTCCATAAGAAGCATATTAAGGTTCTGGAGTAGCCTAGCCAGTCTCCAGACCTAAATCAAATAGAAAATCTTTGGAGGGAGCTGAAACTCCATGTTGCTCAGCGACAGCCCCGAAATCTGACAGATCTAGAGAAGATCTTTATGGATGAGTGGGCCAAAATCCCTCCTGCAGTGTGTGCAAACCTGGTGAAGAACTACAGGAACCGTTTGACCTCGGTAATTGTTAACAAAGGCTTCTGTACTAAATATTATTATTTTTTGACTCAAGTGATCAAATACTTATTTGACACAGTAATTCACAAATAAATTGTTCAAAAATCATACAATGTGATTTCTGGATTTTTCTTTTTAGATTCTGTCTCTCACAGTGGAAATCTAACCTATGCTGAAAACTGTAGACCCCTCCATGATTTCTAAGTAAGAGAACGCGCAAAATCACAGGGTGATCAAATACTTATTGACCTCACTGTATACTGCTGCTGATGAGACAGAGCTGATCCAGCCAGGGAGTGGAAGGGCCCCAATCTCATTATCAGGCACTCAGATTTTACACATTTTTTTATTGAAAGGTCAAATTCAAAGGTCAAGCCTCTAGGAAGTAGATCTAAATACAAGCACAAGAGACTCCAGACCACCAAATTAAAACAGGAAGTAACAGATGACAAATACACTGCATGCATATTCGACTGAGTTTAAAATAAAGAAGACTGAGTGAACAGAATACAAACAAAAGGATCTCAGAAACTCAGAAGTAAAGGAATGTAATAAAAAACAAGGAAATTGTATCAGTAAGGAGATAACAAGACCTATGGACACTAAGAAAAACAGGAAGCTAAATGCAAACACCACAGAATACAGAATCATAAGACAATCAAGAAAATAAAACTAGAACGAACAATGAATGCACTTGAAACAATTCAGGGTTCAGTATCTTGTCCAAGGTTACTTTGGCATGCAGGCTGGAGCGGCCAGGGATTGGACAACCAAATGCTCCAATTACTAGATCTCCTGCGCCACAACCCCAGCAAGAATCACAAAAACAAAACAATTTTTTTTTAAAAAACTAGGTCGAATGTATGGTAATCGACAGGGTGCGGCAGGAGGCCAGCAAGGAACACATTTGTTTGGATTTGCATGGAAAATGTCCATGTGAGAGAGAGCACGAAAAGGAGACAGTATTTTGGAGAATGAGTTAAAATGTGTAATTGAGTTGGTTACTGGGGAAAGCATCATTATTGCTTCAAAAATCTTTAGTATTATTGAGAAAGCGGTTTGCATCAACTGTGACTGTGTGAAGAAATGTTGAACTAGCCCATGAAAAACACAACATACCATTGAACATACCAGCTACAGCAACATGCAAAAGTTAAACATGTGACTGAGAATGGTTACAATCCAAGTCTAATGGTGTGATAAAGTGTTTGTCCCTTTGCTGATTTCTTGTATGTTTGTCATACTTAAATGTTTCAGATCATCAAAGAAATTTAAATATCAGACAAAGATACAAGTAAACAGAAAATGCAGTTTCTAAATGAAAGTGTTGGGGTCACTTTTTCATACCACTGTAAGTAGGTTCAGAAAAAGTGACCTTTCTGCAGACAAACTCCTCAGCTCCAAGTGTAGAAACCATCCAAAATATTCCAGTACCAGCAACTAAAATAGGTTAATGAGCTTCTGTGCCAAGGCCGAGTGGCCGGTGATACTCGGAGTTACTCGCCAAGGGGGC